ATATATCTGACGTGATAGTTTTCGTAGTCCTCAGCTCCGCTCTCATATATCCCCACCTATTCTTATCACTAAAGGGAAAATATTCTCTAGAGAATGCTTATTTGCACCTAAAATGAGAGAGAATAAAACCTCTTTTATTTTATTTATAATTTATTTTTGTCCCTCTCACCCTCTACTTTTACAAGGGACAATTATCAGCGAGTTTGTAGAGAGAAAAAGCCTTGCAAGGGAGCCGATAGAGAGAGATTTGAAGTTAGAAGGGGTGGCAATGGACCTAGACCCAACTCAAAACTCAAGAGGTAGATTCGATCCGGGTTTGAGTATGAGTCTAAAGACTGGATCACGATGGATCGAATCTGAGTCTATATCTTGGATCCAAATACCATTTGGCCCGGGTTTGGATCTAAGCCTGGGTCCCACATTATTTTTTTGAGTTTAGGTCGAGTGTATTCGAAATCGATCAGTTCTAAGCCCTATATCATTTTACAAGTTCAGGTACAGTTGCACCCAGACCCAGACCCGGACCCGGACCCGACCCATTGCGGCCCCTAGGGCCAGGTGAGATATTTTAGAGAGAGAGGGGGCAAAATTGTTGCCCAAAAGAGTGAGGGTCCACACCTCGTAAAAGGTCCAATCTTGTGTGGACTCCCACGTGATAACAAAACCCCACCCTTTCCGTGATGTCTCTCTGTCTCACATCGTCCATTCATATCCACCCGAAAATCATGAGTCCCAAAAAGGTCGCAGTAAAGGGCAAATCTACACCGTCAAAAAGTCAGAGAAAAGGTCAGATCTACACCGTCCTCGTAAATATTTCTAATTCCTCCTATGGTCCTTCCTATTTTGGGGTGGTTAAATCAATTATGGGTGTGGTTTCTATAATTTGCAACCTTAAACAATCGAATTAAGGAGGACTTCTATTTGGTTAAAAACCCCCCAACTTTCATAATTTTCGTCAGATATTTTTTTTCTAAAACGAAAGTAAAATAAACCTCGACCACACCTTTGTTCTAAAAGGTGCAGTTGTTGTACGGATGCATAATTATGAAGTAATATGTTTTTAGGATTATCTTAAAATCTATTTTTTATATATATAATTATAAAATTTTAAATTTAAAAAATGGTTAAAATCAAGTAGATCTATAAACATATGAAAATCTTGAAAATAGAAGGTGTAACTAATATGTTGTAAAATACACTATGACTGATATTTAAAATCTCTTTATTTTTCATGATCATATGTCTCGAGGTCGAGATGATCAATCAAAGGGTTTTTCAACATTAAAACTATTTTTTCCTATGGATTTTTTAGATGCATCCGTAGTTCTACATTATAAAGTTGAATGCGTATATAAACTTTTTCCTTTTTTTAAAACTAACCCATGTTAAGCGGCTTTAAGTACCGATAAGCATAAAGTTTGCGTATATAAACTTTTTCCTTTTTAAAAACTAACCCGGCTTTTAAGTACCGATAAGCATTTAGTGTCGTAAAAACTAAAGTGCTAGTTTGGACGTAACCAAAATTGTAATAATTTTGTATTGTAATCCAAAACTTTTCGGAAATAGATTTGAATCAAAGATTTTGCTAGATTTTTAGATAAATTTTGCTAAATTTTTAGATTGAAATAAAGTGTTCTGCTAGATATTGAAATAAAATATTATGCTCTTAAAGCATTTAAGTACTGTACAAACTAAAATTTTGCTAGATTTTTAGATAGATTTTGCTAGCTTTTTAGGTAGATTTTGCTAGATTTTTAGATTGAAATAAAATATTATGCTCTCAAAGCATTTAAGCACCATAAAAATTAAAGTGCTAGTTTGGTTGTAACCAAAATTACAATATTTTTGGATTGCAATCCAAAAATCTTGTGAAATAGATTTGAACCATTTGGACAACCACATGATTTTGTTAGATGTTTAGATTGAAATAAAATATTTCTCAATCTCCAATCAAAATTTACCGTAAAAAAAAATTCAAGTTAGACTTGGTTTTTTTTTTAAAGTCTAGCTCTCGCACCTGTGCAAACCCCACCTTGACCCAACAACCCACACCGTGAAACCTCAAAAGCCCCCAATCTACTCTCTCTACCTCATAAACCCCAAATCTACTACTCTCTCTCTTTACCTCAGGAACCCCAAATCTACTCTCTCTCTCTAAACTACCTCGACCCAAAGATAAGAGAAGAAGAACAACAATAACAGAAGTTTGGGTCTCTTGTTAAACGGAAAAAGAGAAAATGGAAGCAATGAGATCTTTAATTCATCATTAGGGTTTGTTAGCTTGGGTCTCTTGTTAAAGGGGAGAAGAGAAGAGGGAAGCAAAGAGATATTTAATTCACCATTACAATTTGCTCCATTTTTTTGGTCATAGATTTGTGGTTGCATCAAGGTTAGAGGGAGAAACATGCACCAAGGAGAAAGAGAGAGAGCGTTAATTGTGTAGTTATCCCATTCTTGTTGAGGGAGAGAATCACAAAGAGAAAAATAAACTTTAACACCCAAACAGTTTTATAACAAAAAAAAAAAAAACGGCTTGGTATTTTTGCAATTGGTATTTGAAAAACTATATTTTTATTGGATAACAATTTATTTTTATTTTATACAACCCCACTCGAAATGCCGTAAATCCTTTTCTTTTTATATTTATATCTTTCATATCTCTCATTCTTTTTATGTTCATCTCTTATTTCTCTTCATCATTCTTTTTAATATTTATCTATTTGTTCTCTCTAATTTTTCTATCTCTATTTCTCTCTCTAATTCTCTTTCTGTCTCTACTTACTTCATCAACTCAACAAACACGATTCCAATGTGATACAAATCTAACTTTGTTTGATTTTCACAGGGGATAGGGTTGAAGGGAGTTTTTATAGGGGAGGGTAAGATATGCATAGGTTGTTATACAAATCTCATTGAAGAGAGAACCAGAGTTAAATAGAGAAAGAAGAGATAAAAAAAAATTGGAGAGAGAAAGAAGATATAAATATAAAACGAATGAGAGATGAAGAGATAAATATGCATAAAAGGAGAAAAAGGTTTACGGCATTTTGAGTGTCGTATTCAAAATTGAAAAAAAAAAATACTGTGGCGAGGTTTATGAAAGTTGAGAGTTGTGTTCGTTTTTTTTCTAAATAGATGAATATTAAAATATATTTGTCATAATTTCCCTAAAAATTAAACTAAAAATATAGTTAAAATGAAGTAGATCTATAAACATATGAAAATCTTGAAAATGGACGGTCTAGATAATATATTACTAGATGCACTATTTTTTTGACTCAAAATTTTTTATTTTTTTAAATTTTTTTTTATTTTCATACTAATACATCCCGATGTCAAGATGATCAGGTTTTTAAAAATTAAAACAATATTTTTGATAGATTTTGAGGTATATATTTAATTCTACATTTTAAAGTTGCAACCTTATATAAATGTTTTCCATTTATTATTTATTAGGTGCAATTGGCTTAGAGACGCCTCCGTAGGTGTAGAGGTTAGGTGCCCTTCAAATTTTATCATGGTATATAAGTTTGATGTAAAATGTTATTAGGATTATCTCAAAATCTATTTTTATATCTAATTATAAAATTTTAAATTTAAAAAATGGTTAAAATGAAGTAGATCTATAAACATATGAAAATATTGAAAATGGACGGTGTAGATAATATATTGTAAAATGCACTATTTTTTAGACTTAAAATCTTTTTATTTTTCATAGTCATACATCTCTATGTCGATATGCTCAATGAAAAGGTTTTTCAACATTAAAACTACCTTTTCCGATGGTTTTTTAGGGGCATCTGTAGTTCTACGTATAAGGTTGCAACCTTATTATAAAACTTCTTTCATATATATATATATAATTATTATTA